CTCATTAACACACAGAACTGCAATTCTTGCTGGCAACAGGCAACAGACAAAATGCACAGACTAGGCCTTCTCCAGATTCCATCTGCCAGCCAATGTCGGCTGGCGACACCCCGGGGGAGGTCCTTCTCTGTTGCAGCTCCAGCCCTCTGGAACGAGCACCCCGTTGAGATCCGGACCCTCACTACCCTTCCGGCCTTCTGCAAAGCGACTAAGACCTGGCTGTTCCGGCAGGCCTGGGGCTGTTGAGTTGTCCAGCCCCACTTCAGGTTTGTGACTGTTGTGTAATTTTAAACTGTTGTTTATTTTTTTATCCCCCCTCCCTTTTATTGTAAGCCGTCTCTTTTGAGAGTGGGCGGCATACAAAATTTAATTAATTAATTAATTAATAATAAACAAACAAACAAACAAACAAACAAACTGAGTGTGGTTCATCCGGTCATACCAGCTAAAAATCTGGCTGCCCCAATGGTTTCTAGGAGCTGAAATCCAGTTGACTTGGATGTGACTACGGACCTAATGAAGAAACTCAAGGAAGGCCTTGAGTCCAATGACTGGTTCAAGAAACATTCTGATGAATGCACCATGAAGGATGGAGTGGCATGGGTGGAAGCTAAACTGTATGTTCCTGCTAACCTGAAACCTGTCGTTCTTCAATGGGCCTACAATTCGAGAATGGCGGGCTATTTTGGATTTATAAAGACTTTGCATTTGATTAAGAGGCAATTTTGGTGGCCTTCATTGAAAAAAGACATTGAGTCCTACATAGCCAATTGTCCCGTCTGCGCGGCCGCAAAAAGACCTCCGGGAAAGCCCCAAAGTCTCCTCCAAAGTGTTGCCTGTCCTGGAGCCCCATGGAAGGAGATATCAATGGACTTCATGTCAAACTACCAGAAAATCTAGGATATACCATTATTTGTGTTATCACCGATCTGTTTCTCCAAACAGGTACATGTTGTGCCTTGCTCCAAGATCCCATCAGTGAAGTCATTGGCTAAATTGTTTATTTCATATGTATATAGGTTACATGGAGTGCCTGAACACATTATTTCGGACAGTGGGGTTCAATTCACCTCCCTCTTTTGGAAAGAGTTCCTGAAATTGATTGGCTCCGCCCAAGGGTTAAACTCTGCCCACTATCCTCAGAATAATGGGGCTTATGAACAGACTAACTTGGTTTTGGAGCAGTACCATGTTTCATCAATTATCAATAGGACAATTGGGCTGCCCTGTTACCACATGCAAAAATGGCGTACAATAATTCTGTTCACAGCAGTACCGGCATGACCCCTTTTAAAGTTGTGTTTGGTCAGGACTTTGTACCAATTCCTGACTTGCCTCAAGAGAAACTGCAAAACGCCTAACAGTGGATGTTTGTTGCCTATTTAAATATAGTAGCTTGTCATGCCAGTTTTGGTAAAGCTGTTTTTTCCTTCCCCCTGGTTCTTTGATTAGAGTATTGTTTCTGACTGTTTGTGTGGCACCGATCCTTGTTTATCTGAGTGGTGGCTGCTAGAGAAGATGTGTCCTTTTGCTTCCTTCGTAGATTTCTATTTTCTGTTGAATAATATAATAATGCATATGTGGTTTATCTCTGTATGTCTGTTGATGGCTTATTTTTCTGAATGGCAAGAAAGTCTCTAATATTTTTGAATTTGGATTGGTCTAAGATGCTAATTAGGGACACGGTGGCTCAGTGGCTAAGACGCTGAGCTTGTCGATCAGAAAGGTCAGCAGTTCAGCGGTTTGAATCCCTAGTGTCACATAACGGAATGAGCTCCCATTACTTGTCCCAGCTTCTGCCAACCTAGCAGTTCGAAAGCACGTAAAAATGCAAGTAGAAAAATAGGAACCACCTTTGGTGGGAAGGTAACAGTGTTCTGTGCACCTTTGGTGTTGAGTCATGCCGGCCATATGACCACGGAGACATCCTCGGACAGCATTGAAATGGAGATGAGCACCGCCCCCTAAAGTTGGGAACGACCAGCACATATGCCCGAGGGGAACCTTTATCTTTACCTTTTACCCCAATTTAAACAAACTGGTTTCAGGAACTAAAAATAACTCAGGTTTGCTTTAACTATGGTTTGTTGAATTTGTTCACCTTTACTTATGAATTTTATCTTGTAGGCCTTGTAGTTTTGAGGCAGTCGCTTTCTGAAGCTACGGAGTTTTCCACAGAGTGGGTTTTTTTTTTGGGGGGGGGTGTNTAATTGTGTATGTTGTTGTATTTTAAATTGTTGTTTTGTCTTATTTATTCCCTCTCCCTTTTTATTGTAAGCCGCCCGGAGTCCTCCAGGAGTGGGCAGCTTACAAACCCAACCCAATAATAAGTTTGATATATATTTAGAAAATGTAATTTGTACAAATTATTTTATGTTCAACTTCTTTCTCATTATCTGGAGATTGTAAACGGCCACCAACAAGAGTTTGCAGCTGAAGAAACAGCTCTTTCAGAAGGTCAAAATCATTGTTTTCAATTTCCCGCCATACAAGCTTGCACAAGGGCAAGCAATTTTTGAAAAACATTATATTATTGGAAAAGTTGTTAACACACAACCACTCCAAACCACCCTGCAGGCATAGAAAGATCCTTTCATAATTTCATATATAACAACTTCCTTTCATTTACGAAATGGGAATCATTTCACTGAAACTTTAACCACAATAAGTGCTACACGTGTGGCTTACACAGTGTCAGATGTCCTTGTTGTTTTGAGATACATTTTATAAAGGAAGCCAAGAAACTCATTTGAGCAGATAGCAGAATGTGAACTGTCAGAGTTGGCCTGGGGAGTGCACAGGATGAGTGTGTCAAGATCACAGTGTTCCTTGGAGAGGTTCACAGGGTTTACTTTTCATTTCCATTATGTCTTGATCAGATGTACAGGGATCAGATCTGAAATTTATCTCAGCCTGGAAGCAAAGCTTCAATACATTATCTCTCAGGGAAAAAAATAAGCTGTTGTTTATTCTATACAGAACTAGCAACAGAATAATGACAAACAAAAGTATATACCCTTGGAGCTGAGTTTTATGATCTCATCCGGTTAATTCTCCTCCAACCACACTGCAAGTGCCATAACTCATCAGAATCTAGAAAGTTTCAGTTTGGTCCTTTACAATGGTTCTTCAAATTTAAGGAATAAAATGGACCGAGATAAAATCAGAAATTTAGTTTAAAAATCAAACCAAAGTCATGGTCAATTTTCAAAATTAAAAATCTGCTTTATTTAGACAGTTCCTCCACAAATATGTGTTATATCTTTCAAACCTATGTATAATTTCATGCATCTGATGAAATGAACTCAAGAACATTAGTGTGTTTAAGCTGTGGGGGCACAGTGGTTCAAATGCAGTATTGCAGGCTAATTCTGCCGACTGCTAGCTGCCTGCAGTTCAGCAGTTCGATTCTCACTGACTCAAGGTGACCCATCCTTCCGATGTCAGTAAAATGAGGACCCACATTGTTGGGGGTAATGTGCTGACTCCGTAAACTGCTTAGAAAGGGCTGTAAAGCCCTGCGAAATGTTAAATAAGTGCTACTGTTATATGTATTAATAAATTGGCTGGTCTTTGGACTGCCATAAGAATTTGCTGAGTCTTCTGCTGAGGATATCTTCTGCCGAGTCACACTAATTTTAATTTTTCTTCTGTAAACAAGACATTTTGAAAATTAGTAGAATTCAATTTATTGGAGAATCCCTCTGCAAACAGGACCTTGATAAAACATAATTAAGAATTGCAAGACATTCCTCACCACTGTCTATTTAAGTAATAGCAAGAAAACTAAGAAGACACTCAGAAAACTGTCTTATACCCTTTGCACCTCTGAACTATGTAGTTCAGTACTGTCTGATGGCTCATCAGGACTTTAGAAAGATATATTAAGAAGCAGATAATGGGGATTTAGGTTTTTTCTTTTGTTCTCTTTAAAGGAAAGAATAACAAATTGCACTTCCCATCTTTGTTCAACCTAGAGACAGCCAATTAAAGAAGAGGGTACCTCCAAGCACTGTCTTTTAAGAATGAGTCACCTTATAGCACTGTAGCATCCTAATAAATGCCAACTAATACCTAGGAACAAAATGATGTTACTGAGTTGGGCATGGATTGTATTTTCACTTCCAATAGTGTCTGATTAGTGTCAGGATGGCTAAATAAGGATCCTACCTTTGGGTCCTATATTCTCTGTTCCATAGGTTCCTTTGTGGCATTGAAAAATTCAACAGAATATAAATGCCTAATGGATTGGTTGGCACAGAGGTTGAGGAAGACATTAGAAAGTCATTGGCACTCTAGTTAACAATCCACAGACAAATGCCACTTTATTAATTCAGATATTGGTACCACATTTTTAGGCCAGGTGTATTAATTTCTCACAATTCACCCTAACAAACCTCTTATCTTTCTAGGACATGGCACTGCT